CTGTGGTCAGTGTTTGGTACTGGGTTCAGAATATTTCACAGAGTGGGGAAAAAATGGGTAGAAAAATTGTACATGCATGGTAATATTTAGAAAACATTTCTTGGATCTTTTCCCAAGTATGACCTCATTTTAATGGTTGTAGAATGAACCCTACATGCATATATTCTAGATTTTTTAACTTTAAGCAGCCCTTAGTTCTATGGTAAAAGTACAATAAGATTCTATTTAATAGAAATGTGAAGCATTTTGCTCACCTTGACATGAGGGAGGGGGTAATTTTATATATTCAGAAAGATTTGAGGAGGATTATGGATCAATTTGATCAACCGACACCTACATATAACAGCCAGATTTAAAAGGGGGAGGCTAGAATGGTATGGTAATTTATTGCAAAACCCGAGAAACCCAGCCCTCCAGATTTAAAGCTGTTTTGTGTGTCTTGCAGAAAATATTTTACTTTCAGAACACTATTCCTTCAGTATAAATTTTTTCTTGCCAAAATGTTCATTTGATACTTTTTTTCATTAGAAATACCAATATTTTTATCAAATTCAAAGATAGACCGTTTAATTGACAAGTTCATTTTGGAAATCCAGAAAAGGCTTGTATGGGTTCTAAAGACCTTTCCCCTTCTCGATCTCTCTAAAAAACCATAAAGTTTGCCAATTAAAAAAAAAGATATTTTTTTGCATTTTCATACTTAATATTTTTACACCCTATTTTTACGGCTTTATAATTCTTCCTAGGAAGTGTAGGTATGTACCTCGAACCCCCCCGTAGAGGAAGAATACCTGGATCCGTCCATGCCTTCCATAAAATACCTGGATGCCCTGGAAATTTATAAAGCCCTAAAGAATAGGGGAAAAAGATGAAAAAAAATATTGGAGAGGGAGGGGGGTACTTCTCATGAATAAGATGCTTAATTTCCTCCATGTTAATGACTTTTCTAACCAACTTGCGATGGAGGATCCAAGTCATCTAAGTTATACGTACTTTACAATTCATTTGATTTCATATATTAATAGCTCTGAACATCCTAGGGATCTCCAAGCCCCCCTTCCCCATCCCCCGCGTGAACTACCTCCATGTTAATGACTTTTCTAATCAACTTGTCATGTGTAGGGGACCACGGTTTCAAGGAGGATCCTAGTCATTTAAGTTACATTAACTTTAAAATTCATTAAATTTCCTATATAGCCCTGAACATCCAGGGAGCTCCAATACCCCTTCCCCCCTCCCCCCTCGCGTGAACAAGGTGCTTTAATTTTCTCCATGTAAATGACCAACATGTCATGTGTAGGGGACCATGGTTCCAAGGAGGATCCTAGTCATTTAAGTTACATGTACTTTATATAATAATTATATAAATCGGTAAGATTTAAATCCCGCGTTTCTATCCTACAGTGCAGTAACCCATTAAGTCTTGACAGATTTAATTAGGTTTTAGGGTCTTACACTGAATGACAGATAAAATAGGCAAATGTGTAATTGAAAAAATACAATGTTAAGATTACAAATCCACCTATAACAAGCATTCTGAGCGTATTGCATTAGCAATACTAGTTCCCTACCGGCAAGTGTAATATGGTTCCCATTAAAAATTGAAAATGCCATAATTCCGTCAAAATCATTCAAGCGGAACGAAATGCAAGCTAAATCTATAACTAATCAAGGTAAAGCCACATTCCAAAAATCAGCTCAATATCTGCAAGAAAAAAATTGCAGAATTTCGTTAAAAATTGAAAAGGTTCTAATTCCGTCAAAAATCGATGAAGCAGAACGAAATGCAGATTTGATCTGTAATTTATCAAGATACACTGACATACCAAATTAAATATCAGCTCAATATCTGCAAGCGTTTAGGAAAAAGGGCGGAAAACCAAGTGGGACAGACTTACAGACAGACAGAGGGACAGACAGACAGCTGGAGAGACGGACGGACAGATACAGAGGAAACCTATAGTCCTTTCCGGTTTCACCGATAGGAGACTAATAAATTTTGCTCAGGGGTCTCAAGATATTATTATTATTATTATATATTCTATAACTGTGGATGTTAGCAAAGAATATTAAGATAAAGGTCAATTCAATTGTTGACACCTGTATCATGATAAATGTTGTATCGCATGACAGTATCATGATATGCATCGTATCGTTAGGTATCTTGCAATACTCAAGCCTTATACCTGCACATGCAATTTCAACCTTTTACATACATCCCTACAAAAGTTAGAGAGCGTAAACTGAAAATTTCTCATTTTTTCTAAGTACCTGCACATGGAATTTCAACCTTCTTCATTCATCCCTATAAAAGTTAGAAAGTGGAAACTAAAAATTTCTAGTTCAAGAGGGATAACTCTGTTAAAATCATCGGACCATGATCAAATTCGAACTTGACCTGTATTTATTATGTAAAATACCTGTGTATGCAATTTCAACATTATACATACATCCCTACAAAAGTTAGAGAGCGGAAACTGAAAATTTCTTTTTTTTCTAAGTTCAAGAGGGATAACTCTGTCAAAAATCATCGGACCATGACGAAATTCAAACTTGACCTGTGTATTCCTATAACGTATCCATATGTCAAATTTGAGTCGAATGTGTGCAACTGTTGCAGAGATGATGAACGGAAAGTGAATGATAACGGAACAGGGTAACACTATATGCATAAAAAGAATTGACTCAGCCAAGGGAGGGAGTGATAGGCCTTGGAAACTAACTCCATTTTCTTACACTCACTCTTATGTTCTCAAAGAGTAAATATCCAAGCCTCCTTCAATCTGTAAATGTTTCCTTCATTTCTTTGGCATACAAGCTACTGAAATACTCTCTTTTTTAACATTTTAAGATGAAATATATGGAGATAACGAACAGTAATCAAGCTCCAAAGTACATTAAACAATACATAATAGGAGCAGAGCAAACACGGACCTCCAAAACATCAGAGGTGGGATCAGGTGCTATGGAAGAGTGAGCATCCCCTGCCGACCGGTCACACCCACCGTGTGCTCCTTGTCATGGTCGGGAAATAATGGAAAAAAATCCGTCGACAATTAAGTGTGTAGATACGATACAATGGAAAAAAGATACTGCATAAAAGGGTACAATGAATTTAGCACCATTTTATATTTGCCGAGACAAATTAAGTCCTGTTTAAGAGCTAATTAATGCTGTTTATTTTGAATTTGCCCCATTTTAAATTTACCCATTTGCGACGAGGGAGAAGGTGATGAAAACAAGCATTCTGAGAGTATTGCATTAGCAATACTAGTCCCCTACCGGCAAGTGTAATTTGGTTCCGTTCCCGTTAAGAATTGAAAATGCCATAATTCCGTCAAAAATTAATGAAGCGGGACGAAATGCAATCTTGATCTTTAACTAATCAAGGTAAAGCCACATACCAAAAACCAGCTCAATATCTACAAGAGTTTAGAAGAAAATTGCGGAAAACCCGTAAAAATTGAAAAGGCCGTTATTCCGTCAAAAGTCAATGAAGCGGAACGAAATGCAAACTTGATCTGTAACTCATCAAGATACACTCACATACCAAAAATCAGCTCAATATCTGCAAGCGTTTAGGAAAAAAGTACGGAAAACCAAGTGGGACAGACTGACAGACAGACAGAGGGACAGACAGACAGACGGACAGACGGACGGACAGACTCAGAGGAAACCTATAGTCCCCTCCGATTTCACCGGTAGGGGACTAATAAAATGGTGGCAAGAGTTTCCCTGTTTACAGTACTTAAATACTATGTTTTCAAAATACCGCCAGGTTTTACAACTCTTTAATAATATACATATAGGATATTCAATGTTTTGTAGTTGGATAATGGATTTATTTAGGACAGGATTTTTTTATATTTGTACGAGTGTGAATCACAAGTGAAAATATAAAAAAAACTGTCTCGTGAGTGAACTAAATTCCATATTCATCTACAAAAAACACAGAATTTTCTCTTTGTTATATTTTCTTTGTTTTTCTCTTGCCTTTGTTTTTTCGTAACACAGTGTCATAGTCTTTGATATCATAGTTGAGCGATTGAGACGTCATAACTTAGCGATTGTGAGACTGAAAACATTGTAAACATGGATTTTAACAACAAATTTGGAGAATATTGGCAGTTTCATTCTTTGTCACATTGATTTTTACTCTATCTTATAACAGGGCAGGGAGTATATTTTACAACACTTTTCGCGAAGGGAAGGAAAATGAAGAGTTTTGCCGCACGTCTGATATTCTTTCACACTTTGACAAAATATCACTTTTATTCAATAAATAAATTAGTATTGTATTGCACTGTTGAAAATATAATTAAACTACAATACCCTTTATTTCTTTTTCCATGAAAACTGCATATGTCATAGGAAAGTAGAAGATAACTTTTGATAAAAATGACTTTGAATTATATATATTTTATTAATGAAATATTGTAAATAATTAGACTACAAAAAATTCTCAGTAATTTCTGGACTATAATTGTATGCACAGAGTGAAATATCATTAAATATATGGCATAATTAATTTCCTTTCTTAATACATTAAAACTTATAAAGCAGCAGGAACAGTAGCATCAACAAGTGATCGAGTTGAATTGGTGAGGGGGATGCTAAACTATTTCGTGTCATAAATTTTAAATGGGATTTTTTTACAAAATATTTTATTTCCTCCAGGAAATTCCTGGGACTCCTACACTGATCATAAAAAATACTGCAATACAATGTGTTGGAAAATACATGTACTGTAAATTGTCAAAAAATCTACAGGAAGTAATTAAGCATTATATTTAGTTTTAAATCGAAATTTAAAAATAATGATAAACATAGAAAACACAGTATAATTTGTTTTATATTTTGTTAGTAAGAATTGAGAGCTAAATATGAATACGCCACATATCAAATTCAACTAGATCTCAATTGATTTCTCCCATGCTTTTATGGAGTTTGTTATTTCATATGAATATAACTAATCATGATTCAGGTAATTACATTGTGTCCTAGAGCACTTTGATAAGTCCTTCCCAGTACTCTACCCACAGTGTACACTTGTACAGTGATAATCTGATTGGATGGTTCACTTCATTTTTTGTCAGTAAGAACTTCAAGAACTCTCCGTCAGGACTCAGCAGATGGATCTGTTTGTTGTTATAGTCAATAACAAGGATGTTACAGAGGGAGTCACATACTACATTAGATGGCTTGAAGTTCTTAGTCAGCTTCTGTCCAAGGTATACAAACTTCATACGACCAGAGGGAGACATAATCACTAGATCACCTGTAGTGTCACTTGTATGGTTCATAACACAGATATCACTGTTACTGTTCTGTGTGACTCTGCGTGACCATGTAAACAGTCTGTTCTGGCCGTCTTCCTGGTACTCATAGTCATGTATGACATCACCTGCTATGTGACATTAATTTGTAACGATCTGATTCCATGTCCCTCAAAGTGACCAGCAGTCCACTGGCCATTGACTGACAGATTCCTATTGGCATCAGTGGATCTGTATTGATGACTTTAGAGACAAATCCTGATGGTGACAGACTGATAGACTTGTTATTAAAGTCAGTAAATTAAACATCAGTTACAATCACACACATCTCATAAGGTTTGATATTATATCTATGTTTTTTCTCACCTTCTTTGTTTATTTGTTCAGTGTAAGGTAAATCTGCTTCTCTTATGTAACAATAATCTTCACACAATGCCCTCAATACAACCATTAGTCTATCTCCATATCTAAATGAGATTGTCTCAGTCAAACTGACACTATTTAAATCTTGACTCTTTCCAATCATATTCTCCATCACCCCTTCACTGATTTCTCCTTTACTGTATATCAATGAATGTTTAAAGTCCTTCATATCAACATCCAGTCCAGACAGCATTTTTGTCAGTTCTCTGTGGTTGTCAATCAACCAGTAATCTGACATGACACTCTTGTTACCGTCCATGAAGTTTACCATCTCTTCAATATCTTTCTTCTTTTTGTTTAGCTCAGATCTAACAGAATTCAACTTTTCGGTTTTTCCTCCAAATTCTCTATCAATCTTTGTTGATTATTTTTCCTGATTTCTGAAAGCCTGTTGATTATCGCATCAACATGCTTTGAAGCTTTTAATCTCAGAATCACACAGTTCTTTATTTTCTGTGATCTGTGTTGACACCTTCTCTACCTTTTCATCAATTCCAGGCAAATCCTCTTCCTTAACCTTTATCAAGAAATTAAGTAAAGCTCTCCTCCTTTGGGTGGCTGCCGTTGGTATAGTGCTCCATTCGTGATCTCTATAATCTGTTTTGGCACATTCACCACAAAGAAATTCATCACAGTCCTCACATCAATTGGTAAATCATGGGTTGTACACATTGTAATCTGCTCTTGAGGAGAGCCCAGTTGATATTTAAGTTTTCTGGCTGCCATGTTTGTTGAATGCCTCCTACCTGTGACCTAGATTTGAGGTAAAGTTGAGGTAGCTATGCACTGTGAAGTGTATTGGACTTTAAACTGATATTACATCCAATGCTAGGTTAGCAAACAGAAAACTACAAATCATTATAAAGAGGTAACTTTAAACAAAGTATTCATTTGTCACAAAATTAAATGGTGAAAATATCTAGTATTTTGTGGTTCGTGTTCCGTGGTATGCATTTTTGCAAGCCAAGCAAGCAAGGATTTTTAAGCAAAGGTTTTAAGTTCCCTTTGCTCCCGGAAAATTCTTGGTAGATTATTCCGCTAAAACTGTGTGCTACTTAGCTAGACTCTTGGAACCAACGAAAAGACATAATTCATGTTGAATTACATCATTTAAAAAGCAACACTCACACAATCATCTATAAATGATATGTTACTTCGTGATCTTTATTGTACCTACAAAAACATTAAATCCTCAAATAATTATCTCTGTTCTCTCTTAATAAACATAATTAATTACCTCCTCAAGTTCTACTGTCTCTGTTTTCATGTCCTTTTGTGTACACCTCTATTTATTGTTAACCATCGATCCTGGACTATAATTTGAAAATTTCAAACTGATTTGCTAGAATCCAGAGTCAGAATTTAGTATGCCCAGAACATTACACATAGGTTAGTCACAACTATAGTTGTATAATCTGTCAAGGGTTTGTGGGGGTGTGAAGAAGACCACCTTTGATTGCCTTGCAAAGATGGTGTGTGAATTATAGTTTTATATTATCCTGAAAATAGAATCAAAATTAAGAAAGTTGACTGTTGGGGTACATGATACACCTATTTGGAACTTCAAGATGTGTATCTTAGATGGGTGATCAAAAAGTTCGCGAACTATCTCTATATTTACAAAACCACAATTCAGATCAGAATGAAAGTTGGCACACATAAAGTCATAAATACGTTCTATAAATAGCAGATGTTACGTTATCTTTTGCGCCATGTTTATGACGTCACAATATGAAAATGACGTCAATATGTAGATGACTTAAGGTCAGACGATACATTCCTCAAAAATCTGTTTTGTATATCTTCGTATTGTATGGAAAATATTAAAAATTTTAAATACTTTCTGATTTCTAAACTGGTTTCTAATTGTCTTTAAAAAATTGAAACACTAAAAAATGTGATCTTGGCCAATTAAGTTTTTTTCCAAAAGGATTTTATAGGAAACAATACCCTCCGGTATCTTGCACAAATGCCTGGTAAGGTACCTCAATTTTTTGCGAGTAAACATGTCAAAGTAGCAATACTTCAATGACAAAATCTTAGAAAAAATTATATATTATTGAGGAACGTATCGTCTGTCCTTAAGGCAAAAAACGGTTGACTTAGTCCCAATCGAGCAAAAAACGGCTGTAAATTTTATCGTAACTCTTGGAAATTCCTTTGCCTAGAATATTATAATTTGTACAAGGTTTATGCAGACAAAGGCCCGAAGGGCCAAAGGGGGTGGGTATGGGAGGTGGTGTCCCCCTCTCACTGGTGGATGTTCGGAGCCTATTCGAGAATTTTTTGTTTAAAATGCATAGAGAATGCCTCGTAACAAGCAACAAAACTTAGTGATGTGTGCAGAGTTTAACAAACTGAATACATCCGATGAAACATAAACTGTTTTTGTAAATAGTGGGTATGTTTACGAAGGTATCTTAAGACTAAGATATGTCACAGACACATATTAAGACCTGTCATAGTCTTATGTCAGGTTGCTGAAAGGGTCCCAAGAAAAGACATGTCTTACGCAGTACAGTTAAGGCTACACATGAAGATAATATGGTAATGAGGTCATAATGAGGTTTGACGTCATGACAGTTGCTCCGCCTTGATAGATCCATATAAGGAAATAGAGCTCAAAAAAGCTATTTAATGATGATTGCGAGAATTTGTAATGAATGTCTGTATTTTCAGGTTTAAATAAATAAACATTAGTGATTTTCTCTTATATAGTAACAACACGTCTTCGAAATAATTATCTTTTTATTGTGTCGTTTGGCTGCATTCGGCTTCAGCCAAGCGCTTGCACTCGGTGACACGGAATGTTGTTTACATCTAAAAACGTGGCGACAGCAGCTGAGATATGCAGTGGATAAATGCAACAATCGGGCAATCTTTAAAGAGAATAGGGATAAAATAAGAGACCTGGGCCTTGTTCATCTTTTTGATGAGAAGATGATGACGTTATTTCGGGAAATCATGGAAAACTGAGATGATCCGCACTACCTCACTTGGTCCCTTTCTGTTCATTAAGGTGTGTATGTGCATAGGTATTAACATGTAGACATACTATTCATTACATCGATGTAAAATAACCGTGAACATGTACAATAAGATGTATTATTACAGTCCGTCACAAACTGCAATGCAGTGCTTTGTGTGTATATCCCCCCCCCCCCCTACACACACCCATACACAAAAACACACACATTATGAAAGTTGCACACTTTTAAACATGCAATGATGTTGTCCTCTGGCATACATGTACAAACATGTAACATAATATAAGCGCAGCACGTCATGATATCAAATACTATAATTTAGATGCAGTCACACTTACAATGTACATGTATTTGTGATGTCAAACTGCACAGTGTACAATGCATGTGCACTGTACATACAAGAGTATTAGACTCTATAAATTTTAATTTATACCTCTGGCAATCAAAAATATGTGAATTTTAAGATTTCAGTTCTTACCAGTGCCTTATATTTTAAATTCATCGTAGAACTTTAACTATCTGTATCACTAGGCTGTAAATTTGTAGAATTTCTACATTAATGAAGATAAAATATTTGAATTTTCATTTGTCTGACTACATGTACATTAAGTCAGTCTTATATGTATATACATGTATTTATGTACTGTTTATATGTATAATTCTTTTCTCATTGTAGCTGTCACAGAACTGGTTAAAACTGGCATTTACATCAGCTAGAACTATCAAAATAGATGCATCATTTTCTCCACTGGGTATGATCACACTAAAGCATTTCACATTAATTTTATAGTATGCCAGTGTTAAATATTTTTTTAAATGTTGTACAGGTGAAAGAATTAAATGTTATCTCTAGTATATTGATTTTTATTTTTTTTTACGTAAATTAAGTATAGCTACCAATTCTACTTTTGCAAATGTCATAGGTTTCAATTTCCCCAAAAAAGTTTTGTTTCCATTTATTTTATAAATTTCAGAAAATATAGTATAGCATGGTTTGTTTTGTACAATGCAATGACATTTCATTCTACAATAGTTATCATTAAGTTATTCACTCATTACATATATATTGTGTTGTAGCTACTCCCAAACAATTCAATTGAACAATTCATTCAGGCAGCAAATGTTTCCACCAATAAAATAAAAAGGTATGCTCCATATAAGCTATAAACCATACATATTCCTAGCAAGATTATTGAAATGTTTTGATAATAAAAACAGTAGAGTCATGTATATGCTTTCCATGTTACTCAAAGCGCATGCATTGTTTTGAGTATCACTTTCTTAAAACCCCAATATACTTTCCATAATGGTATTTCATTTTGTTTTTAGAGTTGATTTCATCCAGAAGAACTGGTTGAACTGTGGACTGTTTGAAATATTTTGCACCTGCTCAGAAATCCCTTCACAGCCTGCCTTTGAATTGAAAAGCTGTTTTTAATTAAATAAATTTTCTAGATAAATAATACTTTGTTTTTTTAATAGTACAATGGTTTGAAAATTTGAAGGCTGTTAAGATTTGAATATCTTTACTTGAATATATTCTGACAGGCGCGTAGCTGTCTATACGCAAATACGCAGATGTGTACACATCGTTTTCAAATTTTAAAAAATGGAAAGGGGGGGGGGTGGAGGGAAGGGAGAGATTTGTGAGAAGAGAAAAAAAATATCAATACCATCCAGCAAATATTTGTGTTTCAAATTATTTTATCTCATACTGTTTCGATTCAAATTCAAATTTTATATAACCATGTCTTTATAAAAAAAACTGTAATGTTTTATTAAATCATTGCCACAACCAAATAAAAAATTTATTAATTTGTAATTCTTCTACAACACATTGATAATTTTTTAAAAGTTCTTTGAGAAAATATCAACCGTTGAATGCTGTGATCCACTAGAATATGATTCAAAATATAACATTATTTTTGTTAATAATTGAAAATAATTTTATTTGTTGCTGAAAGTTAAAAAAGAGTAGATGATATACCAATATATCATTTTAAAAAATATTCAGCCTCTACATGTACAATAAATTTGCACGGAAGTATTTAACTTTGTGTTAAAAGCAATATTAAGTACTATGTCTTGTATTTTCTAAAGAAACCCATAAGCTTCCAGGGACTTCGCCCATGGGTCCTCATCAGGGCTTCGCCCTGGACCAACTGGGGTTCTCAAAACGGACCCCAGCCATTCTCTGCGTATATTTCACTTCCATTCTGGCTACGCGCCTGTCTATGTTTTTGGGTACCAACAAGATCTAAATTTCAGCGTGTATATAAATTGTGTTCACCTGTTCTTTAACAGAGTATATATTTCTTGATTACAAAAGTTTTACTATGATTATCTTGTTTGCGCATGGATTGATAATAACTCAAAAAAATGAGACTAAAGCCCCCCCCCCCCCTCCCCCAATGTGATTTGTGCTACCCAAATAAGTAAAACCTCATGTAAACACTGTTTAATAATTTATTTTTTACATGCAAGTAAGGTATATGGTATCAAAGGAACCAGAGGCAAACTGGTGATGGGAGGGCGGGGGGGGGGGGTAAATCTGTAGAAAGGAAAACAGGTAATTAAATACAGGAGTAAGCTCCCCAATCCCTTCCTCCTGTTCTGAAAACTTTTAACGCAGTCTAGAATTTCTAAACAGCTGAAGGTTTGATAACTAAAATAATCACATATGTAACCCCCCCCCTCCCCCAAAAAAAACATAAAAAAAAACAACTAAGTTCTGTTGGAGATATTTTTTCTGTGTGTCTGCTGGAGGAGAATAAATATTTTATCATTGATAGCGGCTGTCTATTTTTTATTACAAGTGATTGAATCTTTCAATATTTTTAACTATGGGCATTGATAGATGTTGCAGCAAATTTTATGCCTATTGTTCACGAACGGAGGAAATGCGGTAGGTGTCAAATACGTCTTGTGTAGCGTATAAAAGAACGAAGATATACAAAACAAAGTAAAGTCAAGGATTTTTTTATGCATACCGATTTGATTTAATGAAATAAAGCCCAGCACAGTCCGTAGGTATTATTTGTTCAAAATTTGCGAGGTACACAAACTCTATTAAGTACCACAGAGTTATCTCCCATGCTGGGTCAGTGATGCGTTTGAAAACTATATTTAGAATGAATGTGTTAAGATTTCAATTTTTAATCAAAAAGTGCAAGGGCAAGGCGACAACCCAAGAGGTAGATTTTTATTTTAAATTCTTTACTTTACTGTATAGTTTTTAAAAAGTGATGCTCATTTCTTTGTAATTCATTAGGCAATTTAAAATTTCCGATTAAATGATGAAAAATACCCTATTCTTGAATACTGGTGTTTGTTTTCAATGAATAACTTAAATATCTCAAAAATCTGACTGAATGAGCATCAGTTTTACGATAGGGTAGATACTAAGGGACACAATGAAACATTGTGCAGTTCAAATATTGTTTGCCTTGCCCTTGCACTTTTTGGTTAAATTTGACATTTCATATTTTGACCTTAAATCGGAGCTCACGTGACTGTAGAGGGTCACATGATGACAAAAAATACCGATGTTAAAAGCGATGGACAAACTCTTCATAAAACCATTAAGATATTTCAGATAGAGTTTCATGCTAAAAAATAAGACGGTTGAAATTAAAGTGTCTCGTTTTTGTTGCCTTTTTATAGAAAATGTTGCCTTAACTGTACTGCGTAAAAATTATCCTATCTTTAGGACACCACATGAGGTGTCTTAAGACTATCTTAGAACTCCTAAACATGGCTGTCTTTTACTATTACTTGTTACAAAGACGTCATTTACGTCGTGAGCGAGTATTCAGGGACGTTGACAACCCGCTAGATTATCGTGACGACGCTGATATAATCTTAAGTACAGACACCCACGGTATTTGATCACATGGCTTTGCAGGGACTTAGAACCTCACCTTCATCGACCTACATTGAGGTCACACGCAATGCCCGTGTCCTAAAGATGATGGCAGCTTTACGCTTCTATGCAACAGGGAGTTTTCAGGCCGTAATAGCTGATGTTCACAGAATATCGCGCCCAAGTGTGTCCAAAATAATTAAAGATGTTTCAAACTGCTTAATAAGAATAGCACCCGAGTATATAAAAATGCTAGTCTCGAGCTCTCGACTTGAACTTTAAGAAGTTAAGCAAGGCTTTTATAATATTGCAGATTTTCCTAATGTTATCGGTGCAATAGACTGTACTCATGTCAGAATTAAATCCCCTTCAGTCGATGAACATTTGTTCGTAAATAGAAAGAATTATCATTCATTCAATGTTTAAGGAGTGTGTGACTACAATTTGCACTTTTTAAACATTGTTGCAAAATGGCCAGGCAGCACACATGATGCATTTGTTCTTGACAACTGTAGACTAAAAGATTTGTTCGAAAACGGAACAATTTCTGAAGGATGGCTTCTTGGAGACAATGGATATAATAATAATAAATAATTTCTATAGCGCCCTCTATAATAAAACTATCACCCTGAGGCGCTTTACATAGAATGTACATAAAACATTACATAGATTGCTTTAAAAATAAAATTAGCCTAATATTGAAACTATTGAAAAAAAAATACGGTTGATTAAAAGTCTAGTAGTAAAAATATTTTAAAAATTACAAATAGATAAATCTAAAAAGTTAATCAAAAGTTAATTTATAAAAATAGGTCTTCAGTTGTCTTTTAAAACACTGAATGGATTTGGCTTGTCGAATGCGCACCGGAAAGCTGTTCCACAGATGGGCAGCGGCATAGTTAAACTGTCTTTCGCCATACGTTCCGGTGCGCACCCTCGGTAAATTGAGTTGCAGACTACCGTGCGATCGTAAAGTACGGTTAGTTTTACGGATAGTAATCAGTTCCTGTAAGTATATTGGAGCAAATCCATACACTGCTAGGTAGATGTATACGTGTATTTTATATTTAGGACGGAATTCTACTGGAATGCAGTGCAGGTCTGCAAGAATCGGAGTGATGTGATCTCTTTTTTTATTTTTTGTGATAAGTCGAGCTGCACTGTTTTGGATTTTTTGTAATCTTTCCATAGAACTTTTGTGAATTCCAAATAGTACACTATTCCCGTAGTCCAGTCTTGAAGTAACTAGAGAGTTCACGAGAGTCTTACATGCATCTGTTGAGATGAAACTCCTAATCCTTCCAATGTTGCGGAGATGATAGTTACACGTTTTAATGACGGACGCTACTTGCTTTTCCATGGGAGAAACTTGTCAAAATGGATGCCTAGATTACGCACAGATGTTACACTGTTGATGATGCTTTCTCCAACTTTAAGTTGTAAAACTGGCACATTTTTGGATTGGAATTTTGTTGTAAAAATTATCAAATCGGTATTGTCCTGGTTTAATTTAAGAAGATTATTCGACATCCACATCCCTATATCCTGCAAGCAATTTTCAAGTCGTTTAAAATAGTTGTTCCAGTTTTCTCCGGATCTTATTATCATGTTAACTTGGGTGTCATCGGCATAGCAATGATATCTGAAACCGTGTTGACCACAAATTTCTCCAATCGTTTTAGAAAAAAGACAATAAAGTTTTGGTCCTAGAACGGATCCCTGTGGGACACCAAACTGAAGATGGCAGGGGTGTGACGTGTCCGATCCAATGATAACACGTTGTTGCCTGTTGGTAAGGTATGATTGTATCCATGACAGTGATTTTCCACCAATACCATATGTTGTCTCTAAACGTTGGAAAAGTATTGTGTGATCTATGACATCAAAGGCTACCATTACAGCAGACGATTGATTATCGAGGGCCTCCATGATGTCATGATTAACCCGGAGAAGTGCTGTCTCCGTAGAATGCTGTGGCCTCTCGCGTTTTGCATCACGGAGTTCTTCAGAGTACCACTGGGTGTTGGGTCGAAGAAGCACAGATTTTGTACACAAAGGTGCATGTTTTTCCACAGCATTTTGGAGTGTGGTGTTGTAATGGTCCACTAATTGAACAATAGACAAATTTTTATCAGGTATATCAAGAGTGATATCCTTTGATAACTCATCTAGATCCACATTTTTCCATTTGCGGAAAGTTATTTCCTTCTCAGTGCGCTTTGGTTTACTACATGATAGCACTGCTTGAATGGAATGATGATTACTAAACGAGTTCCCATGTGCATCAAATAAGTTCGGATCGTGCACAGAAGGTTTGATCTTAAGCACAGTGGATTCAGATCTTGTTATGAGGAGATCCAGTATATGTCCACGGTTATGGGTAGCTGTGGAAATATGTTGTGTCAAGTTATGATCTTCTAATGTTTGTAGAAACTTTATAGCATTCGAATTATTTTCATCGTCGATATGAAAATTAAAATCTCCAGTTATTATAGTCTCATGAGGGAAGGTGACAATTTGATCAAGGTAAGAATTCCATTGGTCAAAGAATAAGCTGGTTCGCAAGTCATTTGTTTTTGATGGCGGGGGCCTATAAATGACACTCATGTTTTATCCAGACATACTGAAAAGTCCATGTACTCAAATTGGTCGATATCCAGCTCCTTATTAGGGAGGTATTTTATGTCAATTTCTTTCCTGAACAATAAGGCAATACCACCACCCCGCAGGTTCTCTCTGTTGAGATGTAGGAAATCATAGCTTGTTGGTTTTAACTCTTGTTTCACTACATCGTCTATAGTAGAACCTAACCAAGTTTCAGTCATTGCAAAAATATCCAGCTTGTTAGACACAACGTAGTCACTAAGCGAAAGATTTTTGTTCCTAACCGATCGACAATTCAGGACACCAAGCACAACATTATGTGTGTGTTGCGTTGGTTTTGGTGACTGAACATTGATATTCTTTAAAATTCTCGTCTTTCTACTAGAACGCATTGCGCCATCATGATTTTTCGATCTGCATTGTTTATTTATTTAAACTTTTTTCTGTGAGTGTAATTTCACTTCCGGTTTTTATGGAACCTACAATATTTACGAGTGGTAACAAGATAAGGTTACTGCTATTAACACCCTGCTGTTTGTAGCAAGTTAGAATTTGGTGTCTATAATTCTTACTTGTGAAAACGCGAATTTCTCGCTGAACACGTTTCCCTGCTCTGGTTCCGCGTCTGGTCCTCCGTAGTGCTCCATTACACAGGTGAATTACCTGACCGATTGTGTTTAATGGCTGACTGACCACAGACTTCAGGTATCACACCGGTAATTGACCAATCAAAATGAACTTAGATAACTAACTTAGATAAATTTCTGCATAGCAGGTTGTAGACAAGTACCTAGGCTTTATTTGGAACATAAATTGACCAGATGCAGATTTTATTATCAGCCTAATATTTAACAATTTCTGTAAATTCTGTCATTCTTAGGAGGGTAAAATGCAATTTTGTTATGTAATAATTGCATAATGGTCTCAGACTTGTGAATTATTTTTGTTTGTTGTGAAGAACAGTGCATATACTCTCCACGGATACAAAATTGGTTGCCAGGCTTAGTCTATTAAGGATGAAATTCTGCTTCAAAATATGCACAAAAAACTTCTGTCAGAGTGCTCAGTGTGTATTCTTGACTGCTCTGGAGTAAGGGAGATAAATGCATCATATCTCCAGCAATAATGGGAATTAGATCCCCAGACTTCAGGATGTTAGTGACAGTTATTTAAGAAATCTCAGGTGCAAAAATGAAAAAAATCTGACAACTTCAAAGGTCCTTCAAGGTATCACACCGGTAATTGACCAATCAAAATGAACTTAGTCAATTGTAGTTCCATACATAATAGAGAAATATTTTTTTTTATTGTGAGAAATTTTTTAATTTCCCTTATTCTATTTTTACATTTTTGGTATCTGTGCTTAGGATATTTTATGTACTTTGTAAAATATTAAAGGTTTTTGACAGGAACTATTTCTTTCGGGGCATAGGAGGCCACTTCCTGGGGTGCACACAGGATGTTTATAAACACATTGAATACACGTGGTTTTGAGGGTATTCCTGTTTGCGGATGGAAAAAATCAGAAAATGCCGTGTAGGTACCCTATTTTTTGGTGTCAGCTGATGTGACTGGTAACGTTTAACACTTCCTGCTAAATATTTTTTCATGAATTCGAATACCTGATTTTTAGTGATTTTTTATTCTATATAGAATTACATAGTGAAAACAATTACCGGTGTGATACCTTCAGTCTGCACGAAATGGCCATTTTTGTCAAGGCTGCCTAATTTACACTCACCAATCGCAATTTTACTAAAATACATTCACAAACATCACAGTACTTGCACTTCACTAATCCTTATTTGAAAAAATGCTGTAATATACACATAAATCACTCCTGAACTGAGCACTATTTTGGGAGCTGCCATTACCGGCGCTAACCGTACATCATTCCGTTACGTCCATGGCTTTTGACTCCTGTGATTCAGCCTACAACACCAGCGGAGGAAAGGTAAAATACCGCATATTAGGACGAGAAACACAGTTGAGCGCAGCTTTGGGGTGCTGAAGTCTCGATTCAGATGCTTGGATACCAGCGGTGGAACTCTGCTACTCATCATGCAAAACGTGTCAGATTGTTGTAGCCACGGCAATTTTACATAACATGTTCATTAATAATACAGTTCCCTTACCAGCTGATTGTGTTAATCCATGTGATAAGGGAAGAATAGGTGGACAAAACTACATTGGAAATCTTAATGATGGATTAATCTTTAAAAACAGACTCATCACAGGGAGCTCGAGATTCTCATAATATGTAAACCATAAGTATAGCGAAGCGCTCCTAAGATGCAAACATTTACATCACCACTTTATTGTGTGCTTGAAAAAACATTTTATATTCATAACAGTAATTGTACGATAATTACTCTTTCTAAAATAAATTCAATCTTCAATGTCTTCAATTTAAACATTTTCTTCAGGGGAAGTAAACACTATCCCCATGCTGCTGAGATATATTTGGTGTTTCTGTAGCTTAATTACTAGATTTGTTTGTTCAATTTCCAGCATTTTCTTTTCAACCTCTAGCCTCTCTTTCTCCACTTTCAGGATTTCTCTCTGTATAACCAGCAAGTCCTCGCCATATGAATCTTTAGAGGGGTTCTTCTTTTTCTCATGTCTGTGTATTCTTGGCACCAGTGGCGTCTAAATGTATATATGCATATGAGAAAATAACTTAATAATTAAGCAATATATATTTTCTCTGTTTTTATTTACTATTTGTCCTGCAATTAAATACATACAATTTAATTTCGTTTGTAACGCGTCATCTGATTGGATAAAAAATAATCTATATCGTATAAGTTATAGTTACACTATAGATATTAATTGGTTAGCTGTAAATACACTCACAGTTTTTCATTCACGAGGGGCGGAGCCCCGAGTGAATAAAAACTGTGAGTGTATTTACAGCTAACCAATTAATATCTATTGTGTAAGTTACTTGTACCAGAGGACCAATGAGAGAAAAGCGAGTTGATAAATAGCACCGCCTACTACGAGGTGACAAGACACGGTCCGGAGTCTGTATAAATAGCTGTCTCCATCTGCAAGGATCATACTTTACTGCGGCACTGCTACTACAAGTTGTTGATAAAAAAATCGGAATTGCATGGTACGTGTGAAGATATTGTACCTTTGAAATGTTGAAGACGCAGAAAACATGATTTTTGTCAGGTACAGGTATAGGGGTAGCGATTGTAGGCTTTTATGTTCAAGCCGTCAACTCTGAAAGAGAAGTTATCTTTCTAGATCGTTTTTTTTTTTTTTTTTGAAAAAAGGGGGGATGGATATAGGAAACATCGGCATTGAACTTTTTCTTTATGGCAATCGGCGTACAGAAAAAAATGAAATGATTTGTGACATTTTAATGAAAGTTTGAAATGGTATTGGAAGTAAAAAAAATGCGGGGACTTCTGATGTGAAATTGCTATATGTATTTGGAGACGGGAAAGAAAATGACGAGAATTCGAGATAGGACGTATCATTTACTGATTAAGGATACGCGGAGAAAACATACAAAACCATTTATGAAGCGGACACCGACAAGCTAAATAATGTTAGTATTTTTGAAATTTAAAATGTTGACTTAATTCATTCATCAGCCATTGCCTTGGTCTTGAAATTGACATCATTCATTCATTAGTCAAGGTCTTGACACAGTATGGCTTGATGCCAAAAGGTGGGCGTGACTTAAAAAAAACTGTGATTCTTCTGGCAAATACACCACAGCAACATGAAAGCAAAATCTAAATTTACCGCCAGTCCTATGGTACAACCTGTGTTGCCTACGTCAAAAACGTATTAATCCGCTTGACGTTACATTTGAAATATGCACAATTCGATGAAATTTTAGAAGGAGAAATTGTCTTATTTTCTGAATTTAATGATGGAAAATTAAATTATAAGGAATGAATTTAATAGTTACCCAAGTTATACTGGTATAACCTGGGGCCCGTTTCATCAAAGGTCGTACGCCCAGTCGTAGCGCTACGCCGGTGTAAAGTCGGGACTAGCACACAGATTTGCGTTTCATTAAATAGCGTATCTTTACACCGGACTAAAGTTAGGCCAAAATTTTACGTCTAAAATTCTACTCATGGGTAGGCGTATGTTTGGACGTAAACATAAAATAAAGAGACTTTACTGATTTGAAAACGATTTAGCCATTTTTAAGGAGAATTACGGTTCTAAGAAGTCTTTTTAATACAAACGACGCATAATTTAATATCACAAACTATGAAGATTTAGGGGAGTGGGAATTGGGGAGGCGATACACCCACTTGGTGAGGTAGATGACATGCAGTATTTACATAACTTACTTTAATAAATTTCTTCATAAAATATAGGAATTCATTTTAACACCATCTCTTAAGTTTTGACAATCCTGCATTTATACGCATTTGATTGTTGTATTTTTAGTATGAGGATGTATTGTAAATCAACTAAACGGTATACATTTTGTGTCATTCACTGAAAAGAAACTTATTAAAGATGTTTATTTTGAAAAAAAAAAACAAAAAAAAACAAAAAAAAAAAAAAACAAACTATTTTTCCCAGCATATTTTTTGGAAAAAAGTAATTTTTCCATAAAAGCAGTTATCTTCTTTAGCTTTGCATGGTTAATATCTATATTTTAAAAAAATATATTAACTCATCGTAAAACCAAGCAGGCTTTTATTTTTAAAAAAATATCGTGCTCAAAAACTCCATATCTTATTTACTCCACGTTTGCACGCGTGGATCTAGAGGGGGGTCAGGGAGGGTCGATTCCTCTTTGCGACAATTTGCGGAGTTATTTATGTACGTAAAAATCTAAGGTAAAGTAAGTGTGAAATAAAATGACCTCGGAGCCCTGTTTAAGATTTAAGTTAGTACGTTGGTAGGAAGAACCATATTTATGAAGTTTAGGAATGAAGGGAAGGACCCCCCCCCCCGCAATAAGATTTCCGGGTTTGGGAAAGAAAATTACGATTTTTTAGCTTGTTAACAAGTTTCTCAGATGGAATTTTTGATTACTGACAACTCTGCACCCTCCACCTTTCCTTTGAAAAAAATCTAGGACCCGCACCTGCGTCCAAAAAAAGTTGTTTACGTTCAAAAGACGAAAAAGATTCCAGTTTATTACGTAATATACTTCAAATTAGAGAGGATTTTATCTAAGGGACGGGGGGGGGGGGGGTCAACAAAGTCACTCAGGGTCTGTAGATTCTGAGAATCAGCTGTCAGAGAAACTTGACTTGGAAATGACTGTAATTTTACAATTATTACGCCAATGTATGAAATAAATTCATGTTGAAACAATGAATGATAAATTTCTGAAAATTTCAAAATGAATATCGATGGTACTTGTCTTTCTTTACCGGGAAAATAAAAGAATCCTCATTTAAAAAAAAAAAATAAATACCACAATTTTAGGAACAAACGGAATGGCGTACAAGGTAATGTCATAGAAGAAATAGAAAAAGTCTTTATTTTTTTTCTGATGATGCTTATTTTGTATTATTCTATCGATTCTTAATAATTAAGTAGACTTGTCCATCATATGCCCAGTTACATATATTTACAAGTATATACAATTGTAACGGATTCTCTCTCTCTCTCTCTCTCTCTCAGTATCAAAATCGAAGGGGTGAGATGGGGGGGGGGTGCAAATATTCCAAAATAAATACATTTACAAGAACATTTATTTCTTTTCTTAGACCTTTAATTTGGAGTGTAATCATATGGTATGTTTGTAAGTAGTTAATATTTTATAATAAGTAGATTTAAGATGCATGTTTACTACAAGGTCCCTAAAAATTCATGTAGTTTTTCATTTAAGCTAATGTATATGTGACCGTATTGTGTACAATGTATGTAGAACAATACTGTATGTTGCATTGTACACAATACGTATGTTTATGCTTTTTTGCGCATGTGCAATGCAGCGTTGTCAAGGGCTTAGTCCTGAGACTAAGCGTATTGTTTACGACTAGTCTTACACTACTTCGTGAAACGCAAATTACGCCGTACTAAATTTTGGCGTGAGCCCCGGAAGTACACCAAAGTTGAGTCTTACATTTACGACTTTTGATGAAACGGGCCCCTGGGTTATAACAGTTTACGCTTTTTTATAAACCGCTTCGCGGTTCATAAAGCGAAAACTGTCCAAACCCAGGTTATACAGTATAATCTGGGTAGCTATTAAATTCATTCCTTAAATGTATCCAAAGAAAAATAACATTTATTTTTCAGTGGTAATGAACGTCTCAAATTATAGTTTTTAATAATATACCAGTTTTCACAAGTACTAGACCCTCCACTCCAGCTTAACGCTTTTAAAAGCAGTCTGAGGGCCATTTTTTAATTTAGGTGTGAATTATTTTATCATCTATTTCATTTATATAGCGTATATAACAATGTACAAGCAACCAATAAAAATGTTATATTGTTTTTGTATAATCTACCTGATGAATTACTTGCTGAGGCCAATACTGTCTGTGATACTTCTGGAGGATGCAGTGACGTACTAGTTTGTAGAATGCTGGAATCAACATCGTAGATACAGAGGGTTCCTCCGTATCCAGTCCTCCTGTGATCCCGTCTATAGGTGTGTCTCCAATGATGGCCACTACTGTATCCTCCAGCGGAGTAAGCGACGAGGTTGTTGGGGGGCTCCTCCTGTCTGTCGCAAATCTTTTCTTTGCCAGGCAACTTTTTTCTTAGTTTCGGACATGTACGTTGTCAACTTTTTCCGAACTTCTTCGACTGTCCGTGTATGTCCATTGACGGAACATTCATTCACTTTTTCGCAGGTAGAGTTCCATATGCATTTTTTGCAGTTATTTGTTGTTTCGTTAGATAATTTGGAAAATAAAAAGCTTTTGTTTTTCTCAACTTCCTTCAACAGAATTTGGAGCTCCGCATCTGTGAAATTAGGATTTCTTCTAGGTTCGTCTTTGACAACGAAAGTCCTATGCTTAACCGAGAATTCGTACACACACATGGGGTGGCCGTGAAGTTTCATGAATGATCGAGTATATAGTTACAATTGGTCAGTAGGAAGCTATTTGTATCAATAACCAATACATATCTACATGTGGCAGATCTACTCGAACACAGAAAGATATACCGCAATCTTGTGACCTACGTCTCAAGTAGTTAACTTTGAAAATTAAGTCAGTTCAACGGCATATTGTCAATAAATAAAAACAGTTTTGACTAGATATAGCATAGATTAGTTTAAAATATAAAGAAAATGATTCGAAACCTATTGATTAACAGTTTGTACCATTAAATGCAACAAAAATATTAAAATCCGACAAAAATTAAGACATCGTAACTTAGGACCTGTCTGAGATAGCTTTCATTTACATGATAAGATATGTCAAGGCATTCCATCACTAATAGCCTCAGATTCAATGAATTTGAATACTTAACATATTTGTACGGGTGGAATACTCGGGTTTTTTTTAAAGACATAATTCCATTTATTATTGATAGCATGTAAGAATGGAATGAGTTCTAATTTATGACCTTGACCTTTGTTGAAGAGTTATCTCCCTCTTTTTTAAGTAATAAAAACCAATTTTTAAAAATCTATACGGTAAAAAATTGTTTTCAATTGTCATTCTTTTTCTAATGATTTAATGCATCTTTCCACAACAGTATTTATTGATATTCTTATTATTTGAATTTTTAATTTAAAAAAAAATTGTTTGTCTCCATAGACTTCAATGCAATTTGTTCATTAATTACTGCTTAGTTAATTACTTTTTGAAACTTTCACTTGGTAAATCCTTTTCTACTGTAAAATACTTTAAATTAATATCAGAGTATTATATACGTGATGGATATTTGAGGATAGAGAATAATGTCCTATTAGGGATGGAAAACCTTAAGATCAGCATAAGATATGTCTTAAAATATATCCTAGGACACATCTTAAAACAAATCTAAAGATATCTTTGTAAACATAACAGCAGGACACGAGCTCTATTATTGCTAATGTCTGAGCACTGAGCACCGACTGACAATACTGGTGAGTTGGTTTTGCTTTTTTTACATTTCTACTCTGAATTTTTTGGATTATAGTTTTAATATTTTTTATCAATACACAACAAAATTTTCATTTTCTTAAGTATTAAGGATAAACTTTACTTTTTGAAAGTGCAAGGATGTGTCAATCAAACGTGTCCCGAAATTCGTAGTTTCAATAATTTCCAGATTAAATAAGTTTTTTATTATATTTCCTTGTGAAATGCTTTAGCAACATATAAGTCATGATATTATACAGAAAATTTGAGAAAATACTAACTTTAAATCTGTGTCTAGGCCCCTTTAAAGTCAGAAATACACTGTACATCGATTGAATCGATCTGAGGTATAACGAATTTTATACGATCTGCTACTGTAAAGGCTGAAAAGCTTGGGGTGGGGAATTTGGCGGGTTTCTTTCTTTATATAGTGCACAAGTTAGAAAAAGCATGCGTAGCAATTAGTATAGTGAAATCCACAGGTCTTTGGTAGGTCACTGGTCAGTCATACGTATAGGAGTGCTAAAAATAGAAATTCACCTGTACAAAAAAAAAAAAAAAAAAAAAAAAAAAAAACTCGCACATGGTTCTCACATACCTCCTGCAAAACCGGTTGTATTCGATTGAATATGCGCGCCAATCGGAATATGGAACTAAATATTGCGCAAAGCATATATTTAATAATAATGATAAATTAATTACAACTGTGATATTTTCTTTTTGTGCCATTCCACCCATTATTATTTTTACATTCTTGGACTTTCACATACTTGAAACTTGCATGTCAGCGGGGGAATTCATGTCAAACTGAGAGATCTTGTTTTGTGATGTTAGATTTAACTTACCTACTTTCAAATGTATCAAGGTGGACACAATAATGTTCTACTTTGTATTATGGTGAATAAAATATTGATAAAGAGAGCTGACCTAGCAAAGGAAAGAATGTGGTAGGCCTAGGAAACTAACTCAATTTTTTTACACTCTGTCGTAGTCTTATGTTCTTAGAGAGCAATCTTCTGAATTACTCTCCTCTTATAACATTTTATATCATACAATAGAAAAAATAGTTAAAGACTATATTTCCATAATATCACCAGATTTACCAATTCCTTAGTATTTTTGCATATAATAAACATTTATAAAAAAAACCCTTTATTTTTCCATGAAAACTGCATCTGTCGTAAGAAATTGGAGGGTATTGCCTTTGGAAAAAAAACTAGCACTGAATTATATGTATGTATTTTATTTTATTTATACAATTTTTAAATAATCATATCATAAAAATTTCTCAGTAATTTTTAGATCACTATAATAATTTGTGTAAAATCATGAAATAGCTTTTTTAATGGCATAAATATCCTTTCTTACATGACAAACACATTCACAATTTTATGTATAAAGGCAGCAGGAGCATGATTTTCCTAAGATTGGAAAGTGACACAAAAGAAGAAATTGGGTTTAATTTGAATAGATGGGAAGGGCGGTTAAATCTTTTCTTGACATAATGTTTTAAAGATTTTTTTGAAATAAAAAAAAAAAAAGTAAAAAAAAAAAAAATTCTCCCAACCCCCACTTCACTTAATTTAATGTCCTCCAGTGAAAATGACGTCAAGTCACTGCAAACGTGAGCTTTTATGATGGGGAGAGTGTCATAAACTTTTCACCTTATTTCAATCTGCATATAAAGTGTCAGAAAGGTAGTGTAAAATAAACGTGTTTTAATCTTTTTTAAAAATATTATATATCCGAATATTTTAGATAACTTTGCTTTATTACTCTTGTCTACAAAACAGCGTGTTCAAAATATAAACGAAAATATACTTTGACATTTACCCTTTTTTATACCTTGGATAGAGGTAGAATTTATAATATGTGTATAAAAGTGCCTGGCGTAGGTGATTAATGAGGATTTATTTGAGATCTTTTGTGGAAATCTGTAAGAGGAGTTTTCCCTCTAACTGAATCTTGCTTGGGAAAAATGTGTGATGGCTTTGTTTTAATACAGATGACGTTATTGAGTGGTAAATACCCTCAACTTTGTTGGTAAGTTGAATTTATTGTGAAACATTTTGTACCAGAGTAATAGTATAACTTTTCCCAGGCACATTTTGGGTTCACAAGGATGCGACGAGTTTATTTATGTGACAAAAAGTTGGTAATAATTATTGTGTTAATCAGCTGCGCCGAAGCGATTTATGTGAAACACTTTTAAAAAAATAGAAATGACCGTCACGTGATCAACGATGTCATATTTTGAACGTATTTAAAGCTTCGGGAAGCCTTAACATCGCTGCGTAGTAAAATAAGCGCACTCCACGTATCAGAAGATACGCAAGATTTAATGAAGAACCCATTTAAAAATGCTTTCATGGCACCTGTTATTAATTCCTATGAATAAAATTAATCATAATTCAATTACATATTACATTGTGTACTGAAACACTTTGACAAGTCCTTCGTAGTATCCCACCCACAGCGTAGACTTGTATAGGGAGAATCTGACTGGACGATTCACTTCATTTTCTGTCAGTAAGAACTTCAAAAAATCTCCATCAGGACTCAGGAGATGGATCTGTTTGTTATTTAAGTCAGTGACAAGGATATTACAGAGGGAGTCACACTCTACACAGGTTGGATGAAAGTTCTCTGTCAGGTTCTGACCACGGTAGATAGACTTCATAAGACCAGAACTAAAAATAATCACTAGATCACCTGTAGTACCACTTGTACGGTTCACAACACAGATATCACGGTTACTGTTCTGTGTGACTCTGATTGGTGATGTAAACAGTCTGGTCTGACCGTCCTCCTGGTACTCATACTCATGGATGACATCACCTGTCACTGTGATATGTCTCACCAGACGTCTGCTGTGTGACTCTAATTTGTAATCGTCTGATTGATTGTCTGCCAACGTGACCAGTAATCCACCGTCCACTGACTGACAGAGCCCTATTGGTTCCAGTGGATCTGTACTGATTATTGTAGAGACCGATCCTGATGATGACAGACAGCTGATGGACTTGTTATCAAAGTTAGTACAATATATATCACCAGAATTTGTCACATACAATTCATAAGGACTAATATTATATCTGTATTTTATCTCACCTTCTTTGTTTACTTGTTCAGTGTAAGCTGACTCTACTTCTCTTATGTAACATTGATCTTCACACAATGCTCTCAATAAAATCATTCGGTTATCTCTAAATTTGAATAAGCTTGTTTCAGTCAAACTAATATCATCTAAATCATGAGTTTTTCCAGTTATATTCTTCAGTACCTCATCACTGATTTCTCCTTTATTGTATCTCACTGAACTTTTAAATTTATTAATATCAACATTCAGGCCAGACAGCAGTTGTGTCAGTTCTCTGTGGTTGTGTATCAAGCTATCATATGACAAGGTACCCTCGTTGTCCTCCATGAACTTAACTGTCTTTGCAATGTCTTTCTTCTTTTTGTCTAACTCGGATTTCACACTTTTCAACTTATTATTTTTTTCCTCCAAATTTTTTTTCAATCTTTGTTCATTATTTTTCCTCATTTCTGAAAGCCTGGTTATTATCTCATCATAATGCTTCTGTAGCTTTTTAATCTCTGAGTCACACAGTTCTTTATTTTCTGTGATCTGTTGTGAAATCTTCTTTTTCTTTTCATCAATCCCAGGCAGGTCCTCTTCCTTAATCTTCCTGAGAAATCTAAGCAAAGCTCTCCTCTTTTGGCTGGCTGCTGTGGATATTGTGCTCCAATCGTGATCTCTATGATCTGTTTTGGCACATTTACCACAAATAGATTTAACACAGTCTTCACATATCATATCAATTGGTAAATTGTGGGTTTTACACATTTCAATATGCTCTTCAGGAGAGCCCAGTTGATATTTAAGTTTTCTAGCTGCCATGTTTGTTGAATGTGTCCTACCTGTGAGGAAAAATCAATGTAGCTATGAGTTATGAAGTGTATTGGACTTTAAATTGATATCATATTACATTCAATGCAACGTTAGCAGACAGATCATTACAAGTCATTATGTACAAAAGTAGCTTTAAACAAGCTGTAGCCATGTGTCAATAAATAAAATGTTGAAAATATCTAGTATTTGTTCCTTAGTATGTATTTTGGCAAGCGAAGCAAGCAAGGAAGTGTTTTTTCAAGCTAGGGTTTCAGTCCCCTTTGCTCCCAGAAAATTCTTGCTAGATTAATCGGAATAATCTATCAAGAATTTACCGCTACAAAGCTAGATTCTTGGAACCAATGAGAAGTCAGAAATTATTTTTCATTACATCATTTTAAAAACACAAAACAGTCAAACAATCATCTATAAATGATTTGCTTATCTGTGTTCCATATAGTACCTACATATACACAATATCCTCACATAATTATCTGTTCTCCTCCGTTGATAAACCTAATTAATTACCACCCCCAGTTCTTCTGTCTCTGCTTTCACGTATTTTTATGTACACCTCCATTTATTGTTTACAATGCATTCTTGACTATAATTTGAAAATTTTAAACTAATTGGCTAGAATCCGATGTCAGAATTTAGTTTGATCAGAAGATGGCACTTATGTTAGTCACCTTATGCAGTCTAATTGCATAATCCGTCAATAGATTGTGGGGGAGCGAAGTAATCCACCCTTAATTGCCTTGCAAAGACGTTGTGTGAATTATAGTTTTACATTATCTTGAAAGTTGCATCAATTTTTATAAAGCTAACTGCTGAGGTACATGATATACCCATTTGGGACTTCAAGATGTATTCTTTATTTCTGAAAACTAAAACTTACAAACTGTGATCTTGTCATTTTCAACTACACTGAAATGTGATATTATAGGGCTTGATACTCTATTATATAATGTATGGGGGGATTTCAGCTTATTGTTATATTATGGTGGTTTGTCATCATGTACTATGTATGGGGGTGGACTTTAGAATATTACCTATTATTCACAGACTTGTGGATTTTATTACAGTGAGATAAAGTGGCATCCAGTTGTAAATTTTATAAGAAATGATTTATTGTTTATGTCCATTAACCATCTTTTCGTTTACTTAGATTATTGATGCAATACACATTGCACTTCGACATTGTTATTTAAACAAATGTTGCTATTGTTTTACAAGACGGTCTAGTGAGATATTGTTGAACAGACAGTAAGGGAGAGTGATATTAAGATGTTATATGTCAGTTTCTCGTCATTATCTACCATATTACGACTGTAATTTACTTACTTATTTATTAGTGAAATTTACAAATCAATGCATTTTAAAAAATCATACATATAATTTTGTATATACATGTATATATGAATAAATATATTTATAATAATACTAATACTAACATGTAAAACTGCCAGAATGTTTAATAAAAGTTTGAACAATACAGAAAAGACGTTCATTCTCCACAGCACTCAATGAATCTATCCCCCATAATAAAACATGTGTATCTAAATTTTGAATTTTATCAAATAATAAAAATTTATCAAGAAATTCCTTTCTGGCTTCTTTATACTTTGGACGTATAAAAAATAATGATACGAATCTTCTTTTTTGCCACATGAGCATAAAGGACTTGAGATTAAATTACATCTGTAGAGGTCAATATTTAATGCACAATTATGTCGAAGTCTGGTCTGGAGAACATTCAGTCGCCTGTTACCATATTCAAAGTATGACGGTGGGGCAGATTTTTTAATACTTATTTTAGATTTAAAATTTGACAACAGTTGTAAGTTTCTATTTTCAAGTGGTAATGAGTTCCATTCATTAACTACAGTAGGAATAAACGATGACTTATAAGTCTATAATCTACATTTTGGAATATCATAATTTTCAGAATTTCTAGTAGAATAGCTAGATGTATTGCATCGCATATTGGGAAGTATGTCCATTAGATAATCTGGTACTAAATTATTATGCATTTTAAAAATGTCTTCAATCTTGCTGTCTGTCTTCCACAACTAAGTGGTTCCCATCCCGTTTCAAAGTAAAGTGAATCTTTAGAGGCTATAGTTGTTAAACCTGTAGCAATTCGTGCAGCATAAAGTTGCAATTTTTCTAGTTTATCGTTATCATTGTTTTGACAGCAGCCCCATACCACAGAAGCATATTCAAGTTGTGGTCTTATAAATGACGTATACATAAGGGAGAGAGATTTTCGATTCATTTTAAATTGTAATTTTTTAATAGAGCCGATTTTCTGTAGGCACTAGCCAGTAAATTTTCAATTTGTGATGACCAACTAGCATCATGAGAAAAGAATACTCCAAGGTATTTGTGCTCAGTGACAAAGTCCAGTTGACATTGTTGAAAGAGAAGCTTAGGATATTCAATGTTTTTCTTTGTGCTGAAAATTATTGCTTTAGTTTTAGAGGGGTTGAATTTCATTAACCATTTTTTTTTACCAAAGTTCCAGTGCATTAAGATCTTGATTAAGATTTCTTTCAATAATTTTCATATTTTGAGATGAATGCTGCAAAGAATTGTCATCTGCAAATAGTCTACATAAAGTGATCATATTGTCAGCAACATCATTCACATAGATTAAAAACAAAAGTGTCCCTAATACTGAGCCCTGAGGAAAACCAGCACACAAAGGTTTAGGTGATGATAACAAATTACGATACAAAATTCTTTGATACCTACATTCTAAATAGCTTTCTATCCATTTATACAAATTTCCATTTATCCCATATGTTTTAAGTTTGAACAAGATACCTTTATGCCAGACACGATCAAATGCTTTTGATAGGTCACAAAATATCATACAACAAAATTTACCATCATCAATAGATTTAACAATATTATCATATGTTTCAATTAACTGATATACAGTAGAGTGACCAGGTAAGAAACCAGCCTGATATTTATAAAAAAGATTATTACCATGAAAATAATTGTAAATATACTTAAAAACAACTCGTTCCACGATTTTCCCTACACAGCTCAGCAACGAAACTGGTCTATAGTTTGACATTAAAGAAGGATCTTCTTTTTTAGAAAGAGGAAGTACATTAGCTAGTTTCCATTCTGAGGGAAAAATACATTCATTTAACGATCGATTAAACAACAAACAAAGCGGTTTGGCAATAGAAAACTTTGCAGATTTTAACGTCTTGTGACTAATGTTGTCAGGACTGTAACACGCTTTGGGTTTTGTAAACTTTATTAATTTCATTCTTAAATATTGATTTACTTTCGTTTTGTAAGATTAGAGTTTGAAAAATAAATCAGTTAGTTGTAGCGTTTACTCATATGCAGTTGTGTTATATGAGTGTGCACAAAAGCTGCACGTTGTACGGTGTTAAACCTGTTAACACTGCTGTCTGTCTATAATCTACACTACCCGGAAGTGAAACATGGTGTCAGAAGTGCTTCTGTGGTAATTATTCTGCTTTTGATCCCGAAATTAACTTTCTATTTGTGACCTGTGTTTCCCACGTGCTTTCTACAAAATGGCGTTCGCTGAAAGACTCGCGCCACCAGGGAAAATAAAATTGAACAGCAGAAATCTCGCTGAAGATTGGCGTAAGTGGAAAGAGGAGTTCAGTCTCTACGTTTCTCTGACTGTGAAAGATGAAGAAGCATCTAAGCTGCAGTTATTCAAGTACCTTATAGGGAGCGATGGCCGAGAAATCTACAATACTCTGAAATTCGAGAAAGAGGAGAAGGATAGAACTCTAAAAATGGCGCTGGAGGCATTCGACAAGTACTGCCGTCCAAAGAAAAATGAAACTGTCGAAAGATTCAGATTCAACACTCGCAAACAGGAGGCAGGTGAGACAATTGAAACTTATATCACCGAGTTGAAAACATTAGCATCTACTTGCAATTTTGGTCAAGTTGCAGATTCTCTCATAAGGGACAGAATTGTATGCCGTATAGTAAACACACATCTTAGGGAGAGACTTTTAAGAAAACTAGATCTCAGTTTAGACAAATGTGTAGACATGTGTAGGGCTGCGGAAATCACAAAACAGGGCATCAGTGTGCTAGACGGAAGTAGTGCTCTCACACCAGCTATTAATAAAATAATCAAACAGAGTACCCGTAAACCTGACGAGAAGAAACAGGCTAGTGAGAAACAAAAATATAAACAGTGCAAATTCTGTGGCAAGTATCATGAACTAAAGAAAGAAAAATGCCCTGCATACGGACAAACTTGCAGAAAGTGTCATAAACTCAACCATTTCGAAAATAAGTGCTCAGCATATGCTAAACATTGGCCCACAAAGATCACGAAGAAGAAAGTTCATGCAGTAGACTTTGGTGAAAGCTCCGACTCGGATGATTACTACCAGTCAAACTCTGTCACTAACTCGGACGAAGTCGGATCTGTAAACTCTTTGAACTCCAAAACAGCACAGGCAACCATGCTAATCCAAGGAAAGAAAGTGAGATTTCAGCTTGACACAGGAGCTACCTGTAACATTCTACCTATAACCCATTTGCGTCACTTCCGTCCTCTGCGCCTAACCAACTACGAGCTTCGCATGTATAAGCACAATCATCAAGCCCTTTGGAAAACTTGCATTATCAGTCACCAACCCCAAAAACCAGATGACTCAGGAAGCTGATTTCGTTATCATCAAAGACAACTGTATACCTCTACTAGGTAACGATAAACTTCAGGATAAGGAACTGCTACAATGGAATAGTGAGAACATTCTAGCCATTTCCAACTATTCACCTATCACCAAAGAGCAGTTGCTCACCGAGTACAAAGATGTTTTTGAAGGCATTGGACGTTTGGAAGGAGACTATCATCTTGTTGTTGACAAGTCCATTCCTCCAGTTGTACACCCTCCTCGGAGAGTTCCTCTAGCTCTCAAAGCACAGCTAAAAGATGAACTTGATCGTCTAGAGAATCTGAACATTATTGCTCAAGTGAGTGAACCCACACCATGGGTTTCTACTTGCCTCATGGTTGTCAAACCGAATAAACTGCGGATATGTATTGACCCAAAAGACTTAAATAAAGCTCTGAAGCGTAGTTATTATCCGCTACCCACTATTGAGGAATTTCTTCCACAGTTAACCAAAGCAAAAGTTTTCAGTATCCTTGATGCCAAGAATGGGTTCTGGCACGTCCAGATGAATCATGAAAGTTCACTGTTGACTACATTCAATACGCCCTTCGGACGCTATCGCTGGCTGAGAATGCCGTTTTGCGTGTCTACAGCCCCTGAAGAATAGCAAAGGAGACAGGACCAAGCTGTTGAGGGATTGTCGGGTATACATAGTGTAGCAGATGACATTCTTGTGTATGGCGAGGGGGATACGGAAGAAGAAGCTATTGTTGACCATGACTGAAAGCTACGTGCACTGATGGACCGATGTCAAGAACGTGGACTCGTTTTGAACAAAGACAAACTTCGATTGCGACAAAAAGAAGTGCGATTCATTGGACACCTTGTTACATCAGAAGGTCTGAAACCTGACCCAGAAAAGGTGAAAGCAGTTAAAGGGATGCCAAATCCAGAGGATGTCGCAGGTGTAAGGAGATTTCTTGGATTTGTGAACTATCTTAGCAAATTCTTGCCATCCCTAAGTGATTTGTGTGAGCCACTAAGGAAACTTACGCTCAAAGACGCTGTATGGAGCTGGCATGAGGTCCATGACAAAGCTGTGTCTGACATAAAACAGCTAGTCATTTCTGAACCGGTGCTTAGTTACTTTGATCCTAACAAAAGCCTAACTCTTCAGTGTGATGCCTCGGAAACTGGACTTGGAGCCACAATCTTACAGGAAGGGAAGCCTGTTGCTTTCGCAAGTCGTGCATTGACTGAAACAGAGACTCGGTATGCACAGATCGAAAAAGAATTATTGGCAGTGGTATTTGGACTTGAAAAGTTCCACCAATACACGTATGGACGTGATGTGTCTGTTCAGAGTGACCACAAACCCTTGTAGATTATCCTTAGAAAACCACTTCACATTGCACCTAAACGACTACAGAGAATGCAACTGCGCTTGCAAAAGGACACTATACGCTTGGCATATCATCCTGGAAAAGAAATGTTCCTAGCAGACACTTTGAGCAGGGCATACCTAAGAAACAATGACCAGACTGGCACACTTGAAGAGGAAATAATACATCTGGCACGATTTCTCCCTGTGATCAAAGATAGACTTCAGGAACTGAGACAGGAAACTCAGGCAGACAAAACATTAGTAAAGCTGACCAAAGTTATTCTCTCAGGATGCTCAGAAATCTCTGCGTGTGTTTCTGCTCCCCTACAGCCATACTTCAACATTCGTGACGAGTTGACAGTACAAGACGGCATTGTATTTAAAGGAGAGCGCATTCTAATTCCAGAGACAATGAGAATGGACATGTTGCGCCGTATTCACTCATCTCATATTGGAGTTGAAGGAAGTCTCAGGAGAGCTCGTGAAAATTTGTTCTGGCTCGGTATGACCAAAGATGTGAAAGACTTTGTGACTAAGTGTGATACCTGTCGTTCTTTTGATGGCAAACAGAGGAAAGAGACCCTCGTAAGTCATGATGTACCCACACGTCCATGGGCCAAAGTAGCTAGTGACCTTTTTAGCTACAATTCGAAGGAGTACCTTGTGACCGTTGATTATTTCTCAAACTTTTGGGAGGTTGACTATCTCCGCAGTACAATGTCGAAGACTGTAATTCAGACACTGAAGGCATTGTTTGCACGCTACGGGATTCCAGATACCCTTGTATCTGACAATGGGCCCCAGTTTGCCTCTACTGAGTTCCAGCAGTTTGCCAGGGAATGGGAATTCTGTCATGTGAATAGCTCACCGAAGTACCCCCAAAGTAATGGAAAAGCTGAGCAAGCTGTCAAAATGGCCAAAAGATTGCTGAAACGAGCCTTGAAATCTCAGTCTGATCCTTATCTAAATCTGCTAGATTTTCGTAACACACTTACTCAGGGAATGGATACCAGCCCAGCTCAGCGTTTGATGAGTCGACGCACAAAGACACCTTTGCCTACAAAAGAGACCCTCCTAGTTCCGGAAGTTTATCCACTGAATCGCAGGAGAAGCAATTAACCCATCTAAAGCGAAGGCAAGCTTTGTACTATAATCGTGGAGCTAGAGATCTTCGACCACTGGATATCGGGGAAAAGGTGCGTATGACACCAATGGAAACGTTAGGACAGCCTGACAAAGAATGGAAAAAAAGGAACTGTGAAGTATTCACTAGGAAACAGATCATATGAAATTGAATCTAATGGACAGACATACCGTAGAAATCGTCGTGACCTTCGTCCAAGTCAACATGCTGACACTGACGCTCATATATATGAGGACATTGATGAAAAACCAGTCCAGGAACAACCTATCAAGGACACATTAACTGGACAAACTTCTGTGAATCCACCCTCAAGACCAACCAGTGCATCTCAGAGTGATTCTGCACCTCCACTTACCACACGATCAGGTCGAGTCGTTAAGGAACCATCTCGATTCAAGGACTATGTGAATTAGACTTCAGTTTAGATTCGTTTACTAGCCATGAGTAAGCCGTGTTAAAAGGGCACAATAATCCCTTGACTTACTCACCCTTGAGCAAAAAGCTCAATATTATGTTTCTAGTGATAGTGCTTTGCCTATGTTGTTAATTGCATGTTTTTGTCTCATGTATTTCAACTGTAACAGATTTCGCTTCAATTTATAATCTATCTTGTGTATTACAGAGACTTTTTAAAGGAAGGAAGATGTAACACGCTTTGGGTTTTGTAAACTTTATTAATTTCATTCTTAAATATTAATTTACTTTCGTTTTGTAAGATTAGAGTTTGAAAAATAAATCAGTTAGTTGTAGCGTTTACTCATATGCAGTTGTGTTTTATGAGTGTGCACAGAAGCTGCACGTTGTACGGTGTTAAACCTGTTAACACTGCTGTCTGTCTATAATCTACACTACCCGGAAGTGAAACAAGGACCAATGGCCTTGTTTGTGGGAAGTATTGATATAAAATCAATTATTTCTTGTTTACTAATGCATACATTACTAATTTCATTATTACAAACATAATATGTATCAGGTAATTCTGACCCACTGTCATCAACACATGATACAGAAGTAAAATAGTTATTAAGTTCATCTATTTTCTCTTCATTGGAATAGGCAATATTTGTGTCACCAGTATCTGTTGTATAATGTAATGGTGGAATATCAGAGGAAACTTAGTTTTAAAAACATCCTTCAATAATTTCCAGTAAAGTTTCGACTTGTTTTACAGCGTCTGTAAGATGTAATTCTAGATTATTATGGTAGTTTTCAATTGCCTTTTTTCTCATATTGTTGAATTTATTTCTTATATGTTTAAAATTTGCCCAATCAGAGTCTTTTTTACTTTTAAGAGCTTTTTGTCTAAGTCTATTTTTAATAAGAAGAGTTTTACGTAATGCAGAATCAAACCAGGGTTTATCTTTTGGCCTTATAATAACAGACTTTTCAGGTACGCATTGTCTAACTATGTTCATAAATGTCAAAGAAAAATTTTCCATAGCCCCGTTAACATTTTGTGCATTACAAATGAGGTTTTCCCAATCAGTATTTTCAATAGTTAAGTTGATCCATATCAGCATTTTTATATACCCACACTTTTCGTTCATAAGATTTGTTTTGGTTGAAACTTGATTTCAGAAAAATATATGTCCCTTTGTGATCACTTATATCACTGTCTATGTCTAACACGCCTGAGTGAAGAACTGAAACATCCGAATTGACTAGAATTGGGTCAATGAGTGTGTTCGAGGTGTTCGTGACACGAGTGGTTTCATGGATAGTGTTTGTAAGACTGTATCGTAAGAGGATTTCATTAACAATGTGTGTTCTAGGAATATTAAAGAAGTCTACATTAAGGTCTCCAAGTACAACAATTTTAGTGGAAATGTAAGAAGCCTTTTCTATAGACCACATAAGGTTATTCCAAAAGGATTTATCACTGTTTGGTGGGCGATATACACAACACAGTAGAAAGTTACAGGTAGGTTCGCACACTTCTAACCAGATACATTCTATTGTAGTGGGTTCAAGGTCATCGCGTCTGGTAACCCGAAGAGATTCAGAAATATAAACAAGAATTCCTCCTCTATAAGAATTCCTGTCTCTTCGAAAAATTGTATTAAAGCCCTCAATTGAGATATCGCTATTATTTATACTACCGTCTAAATGTGTTTCTGTGAAGCATAAAATATCGAAGTCAGTAACAAACGTTGTCAAACTTTCAATTTTGTTTCTAATGCTCCTAATGTTAAAGCGACAGTACGGCTGCAATATGTGTGCTTTTTCATCCAAATTTACCCAATATGTCATTAAGAAATAAGGTATAAATTTGATGTAAGCAGTTTGAGAAACAGAAATATTCTCTACTCAATCAAAATTAACGTAATTAGAATCTGCCGGAAAATCAAGGGTCGTACGAACTGGAGCAATCTTAGATCTGTTTATTTGTACCACGTGAATTCTAAAACGGCACGTGCCTACACTGTAGAGTTTACAGTTATAATGAATATTAGGTGAAAGCAATTATCAAAAACACAAATTATTATACCATCCTGATAAAATAATCTAAAATAATAATCGTAAAGATTTTGGTCTGCATTCAGGCGAATTTAACAGAATTAAAAGTACAAATGTTGACGTTTTGTGTATTGGGGTCCGAGAAAGGAAAAACCAACTAATCATACGTTATCGCGGCAAATGTCAAACAAAATATTTTTCTGCACAGTTAAAAAAAATTAGCATTTCAAATGGCCACAATATTTATAAGTAAAAAATGTATTTTTTATGTTGAGTTTACACTATTTTTTTCTTTGAAAGCGACGGAAAAATGAGAAATGAAAACAAGTATCAACAAACCTGTCGAATAGAACCTTCGAGAGCCCTGCGTGAGTGTCGCCGAGTTCCCGTTTCTTCCTTACCCAGCGATTATATTAATCCCCGAACTAAATTTTAGTCAGGAAAGTTGCTTTTTCAAGTTCTATTTTCAGTTTCTTTTTATTTTTAGTCGACTTTGTCAATGTAGCAGGCCTACCGGGATTCCCTCTCTAACCATGCTGTTTTGTTTATGAAAACTACGCATGCGTGCACAGCATGGAATGTGGAACCCCGAACACATTGCGATGTATATATTTACGTCCCATAAATAACTATTAATTTTAATGAGATAATCCAAATTATTTAACTGTAAAAGTTGTAATTTTCTGAAAGTTTATACATTTATGATTAGTAAAAAAATTCCAAATCTTGTCGGAAAATTTTATCTAGTCAGTTTTTTGATGAGATGCGCCCTACTGTCACTTTAAGGTGAAAAATATCTAAACTATGAATAGGAACACCATTTGGACCGGGATTAGTTTCGATGTCGCCAGAAAAAAAGTAGTAAATGAATAACTTGTAAGCAGAAATGTACATGGCCAAAGTTTTTGATACCCTTTTTAGTTATACATTTAAACATTTGCAAATAATTTTTGTATGCATGGATTAAAAGCGAAAGTAAGATCCGAAGATCAAAAATACAGAATAGCATTGATTTGATAATACAACTATTTTTGAGATAATAGATTCCTATTGCGGCTCGATATTGCAAGTGTGTATTATCCGTCATTAGCTTTTGTAAGTTTCACACAATCAAAAGACAAATTGAAGGAGCCGCTTGTAATGACAACTGTCAGAATGTTTATAATACATGTGAAATAAACTGTGACCAATATAAGTAGGAAAAAATGTGTAATAAAACAAAAACAAAGAACAAAAACCTTTCATATATGTCAAAATAATAAATTTGAACATTAGTGAAGGAAACAAAATAAAAATTGTGAACAAGTATAAGGAAAACTAGAGCAGAGCTCGTTGCAGAGCAACGAGTAGGTCTTCCGTTGGAGCTGCGAACAAGAAGACGTGACCTTGAGTCAAGGTCATGCCACATTCTAAGGTTATAAGCAATCTTGTAAGGGGTATCAACTTGCAATGTCTCACCAGTAGAAAGACAGTTAAGGAATATTGTTTCTCCGTTGATGACCTTGAACTCGTTCAAATGACCTTGTATCAAACCATGACACACTCTGGTTATAAGCAAACCCCATATATGTGTTACCGACTCGACAAGTTAACATATGTTCTTTCAGACCATTCATCCAGTCAAAACATTCTTTCCTTAGTGACCCTAAATTTAATCAACATTGCCGTAGGAACCGAGGGAGGGGGGGGGGGGCGTGCCCCCCAATAATTTTGCCGATATATAGATTACTATAGTAGACATAGATACTATAGCTTGTGCCACCTCAATAAAAAAAAGTCTGATAACCTTCTTTTTTTTGCTTGACAAGGAATTTTTGGTAGTTGGTGACCTTTTTTTTTTTTTTTTTGCTTGTCAGGAAATTTATGGTAGTAGTGCCCCCTCAACTGTCAACTGAAAATGTATGGCTGTGCCCCCCCCCCAAAAAAAAAAAACCCTGAATTTGCTTCCTATGGGCCTGATCAAGGCAATGATACACTCTGTATGATATCAGCGATACCCTTTTGTGTGTTTCGGAATTGACAAGTTCACAGTTTGCATTTATTGCATGATAGTGAGGGAGACATGAAGATTTCTTCGCCCATAAAAAATCATATTCCCCGAGGGCAACATGAAGATTTCTTCGCCCATGAAAAATCATACTCCCCGAAGGCAACGCCCGAGAGAAATATGATTTTTCATTTGCGAAGAAATCTTTATGTCTCCCTCATTATTATGCAATAAATTGTTTATATACCGAATTAACCAAAATGCAGGAATTACAAAGGGGATCCAATGAATAAAGCAAACATGCATTTGATGAGAACGATATGAAAGAGATGTAAGTTACAAGTACACCAATAGCCTCGTTTCATTAAAAAAAAAATTCCTACGTGACAAGTTTGTGTGATCACACCAGTAACATTCAAACACCATTACATTTTTACACATTTAAATCGACACAATCAATCAACGATAATATGTTGACGGTGCGACCGTTGGGCGAGTGCATTGTTCACTTAATTTTAAGATCCGCCTCTTCAAGCAGCACGAGACATTTGGAACGTCTAGACTGTGAAGTCTCATGACGTATGTTAGCTGTATTTCCATAAACGAATTTTGAAAAGTGCAAACATTTTAACAAAGAACGTTTAATCTACTATCTGTATGCAATTCCATTAATTAAGGTGATTTTTTTGGGTGAATTTTTAGTTGTTGTTACCGCGCGAACGAAGTTAGCAGCGTCGATCGCTATAAACAATCTAACTCCTCACTCGTTTAATTGTGACGTCACAATCGTGAAACACGACATTTTGTTGCAGGGCAAACATGATGGACACGTGACTTTCTCGGCCAATCAAATTCTATTTTACTGGTGATTTTTCACTTGTAAACTAGTTTTCACAGAGGTATAATAAACGTTTTTTAGACCATACATCGAAATAAATTATCATAATTTCTATAGTCGTAATTTATTAG